AGCAACTTCCTTTCAGCCTGAGAACATGGAACTTTAGCAGGGATGACTACATGTTGATTTTTGGCCTTGTCTGTTGTGGCCTAGTGCTGGTGACTGGTCAAAAACAACGGCCTCCAGTGACTTTGACACAGCGGCGGCCACAGAGGGCTGCAGCGAGGGTGACGTGAGCCACTCCCCATCTAGGAGCACTTCGCCCAGCCTCTGAACACTGAGGGTTTGGGTCAACGATGGTGGCTTGGAATTTCCCCCTCAGGAGTATAAAACACAGCACAGAAACTGGGAGCAGGAGGTCAGGGGGTCTGCAACGAGAAAGCCATGAGTTAGCGTCCTTTAGTCACTACTTACTCAGAGCTCTGATGTTGGACCACCATTTGCTCCTGTTGATCCTAACTTCCGAATCCGTTCAGTGAGGATATTAATATAGACTCACACACTTATGGGGAAGAGGTGGTGCTTTGATAAATATCAGCTTTTTCTTCAATCTCCCACTTAACAATAAAAAACTCAATAGTCAAAACACTCTAATATAACCCAAGCATACATACTTTTGCCAGTTCTGCTACCTGTAAAATTGGACCAAATTGTATCTAAAAAACTCAAATTAATAAAAACTTACTCAAAGTTCTACTTATCTTCACATTTATAATCCAACCTATTCAGGGCCAGCACTGTGGCACAGTGGGTAAAGCTGCTACCTGCAGTGCCAGCATCCCTTGTGGGCACCTGTTCAAGTCCCAGATGCTCCACTTCTGTTCCAGTGCTCTGCTGTGGCCTGGGAAAGCAGTAGAAGATGGCCCAAGTCCTTGAGCCTCTGCACCCATGTGGGAGACCTATAAGAAGCTCCTGGCTCCTGGCTCCAGATCAGCACAGCTCCAGGCATTGCAGTCAACTGGGGAGTGAACCAGCAGATGGAAGACCTCCCTCTCTTTGCCTCTCCTTCTCTACATAACTCTGACTTTCAAATAAATAAGTAAATCTTTAAAAAATAATAATCCAAACTACTTCCTACCACCTCCAAGTGAGGGTTGTCTTAAATGTTTATTTTTTTTAGAAGAAATTAGAAAGTTTAGTGCTTTCTAAAACTTCCCTGCCTCTAGATCCATGATCATTGTTTCAGTGTGGGGCAGGGGGTGGTTGTTAAAAGGAGGGAGAGAGAACTCTGTCAAAAAAAAAAAAAAGAGGGAGAGAAAAACACACACCCTCAAACAGAACCTAATATCTCCTCAAAGAGGAGTTCTATAAACAACATATACCATACTTATACTATGGTTTGCATGAATACAATTCCGAAGTTCAAACATCATGGAACCAAAATTGAGCAATTAACCACAAAGCAAGCTAAGTTATTATCATAGGGTTTAACCAAAAAATTTCCAAAGATCTCTAACCACCTGTGACCCACACACACCATAATTTGAAGTTGAAAACCTGAGTATCGGTTGATTACAGCACCCTCATTTTGTAAATGAAGCCACAAAGGCCCACACAGCTTAACTGACCGTTCTAAAGGGCCAGAGCTGCCACGGGGAACATTGGGGCTTTGAACTAAGGCTCCCAATGTCTAGTCCCAGGTTCTGTACCCAAGACCGGCGTGGTCTTCCTGTACTGTATTAATAAATTTTCAGTTGCCAACACTCCATCTTAAAATGAACGTTCTAATGGAGTAACTTCCCTGAAGATCCTCAGTCCACATTCACACTCCTCAATAACTCACAAAGTATCAGAACCTTCTGTCTTGGATAACTCTAACAAGGGCCACTGAGCACCATGATAGGCTCAGAGAAAAGAACCATTGCCATTTACCAGTGCCAAGTGGTTAGGACAGGTGCAGGAGCCCACGATCCAGTATCGGCACTGTGGAATGAAGGCTTGGACTAGGTCATCTGTAGCTCCACCTTCCAGCTCTCACACTCTTTGTTGTATGTTCCTTCCCCACCAGCACCACCCCCCCCACCAAGATCTCCAATCTGTACTTCTTTTCCTGGCATCCAACTTACTGGTAAAAGGCCAAGTTGGTCAGAATCAATGTAGGACTTAGTAAACTCGAAATACTAACTGTCAATTTGGTTTTCTTTCATGCAACAACCTACACTAGGCAGTTTGTACAAATCTTCAGTAAAAGGAATTGTAAATTGGGGCCGGTGTTGTGGCAAAGCAGTTAAAGCACAGCCAGCTGCTCCACTTCTGAGCCAGCTCCCTGCTAATGTGCCTGGGAAAGCCATCCGGAGGATGGTCCAAGTGCTTGGGCCCCTGCACCAGCATACAAGACCCGGTAGCAGCTCTGGGCTTGGGCCCAGATCAGGCCACTGTGGCCATATGGGAGTGAACCAGTGGATGGAATATCTCTCTCTCCCCCTCTCTGTAGCTCTGCCTTTCGAATAAAATAAAATAAATCTTCATTAAAAACATTACAAATGAAAAAAAAAAAAAACAAGAAATTGCACTTTCTTGAGACTTTTTTATTGCCCCCTTCTGCAATAATCGACATGTTGGGATGTAAGCAAAACTTCACGGGTCCCCACCAGTTATCACCCAGGCCCTATATAAAGGTGGTGACTACCAGGGCAGAAATGTGAGTAGCGTCAAGCTTTAGAATTTGTTGGGTTAAACTGAAGAGCGCCTGAGAAAACTGCCCATCCAAGAGCCCCAATACAGGCTGACAAGGTATGGGACCAAGTTTCCCAGTCTAAGACAGGCACGCTGGAGACAGAACCATCTGTGAAGCCAACGTCACACTGGGGGTGCATGGTCTGCCAAAGCAGTTCAATCTGTTTCTGATGTGAATCCAACCCCTGTTCCAAGGCCAGGATCGCTGTTTTGATCTGACTGGTGGCTTGGTTTTGGGTAAACAGGGGAGTGGCCGTTAGCTGAGTGACGTTGTTCACCAGTCAGCTGTTTGAACACTTTGGACGAGGGAAACGATGGCGACAGCCGCACCAGCTACCGCAGCGACAATGGGTATAACAGAGCGATGATCAGTCGAAGGGTCCTCTTAGTCCGCTCTACCAGCTGCCTGACTGCATCCTTGAAGGGCTGGTCCCAGGGTCCAGTCCAGTTACTGTGTGCCCGGACAGAAAGCCAAATCACTGGGCCCATCCTGGAACCCAGCCTGGTCACCGGCAGCCTGAGTTTAACGTCAGGGGCTGCACAGATCAGCACCACCAGCAGCAGGCCCATTGGACTAGGGGTCAGGGACAGGCGTTGTGCTTGGTCCACCAGACCCTTGAGGTCCTCCATGTCACCCGATGTTGGGAGGAGGCAGGCCTCTTCCTTGTCTCTTCATGGGCGGCTTGTTTAGGGAAAGGTGCTGAGGTTGGCTGTTAGAGGGTCAGCCTTTCGAGACTGGGGTCCAGGGTTTGACATTTCGGGCCGGTATACACACAGGCTGAGGAGCGATCCCTGGAAAGACTCAAGTGAAACCTCTTCCCATTGTTATAAGGGCATAGGGTAAATAGCTAATGTCAACCCAGATTCCAACGCCCTGGAACCACTCCCAAGGCACACTTAGCTGCTCCCTAAGGGCCATCTTGCACACCCTGCCTGCCCTGTGGTGCCTCCTCACACCAGCTTCCCAGGGTCGCGTTACCACGTTGGGATTCTGAGTGTGTTTGTAGCCAGATGCCTGAGGGGGCTCCACACTCACTGACAACTGCTTCCACTTTTCCCAGCCAAGTGGAAGATCGTAATAGGAGCTTTAAAACAATTAATTCATTTATTTGAAAGGCAGAGTTACAGAGAAAGAGAGAGAGAGAGAGAGAGAGAGAGAGAGAGGTCCACCACCTGCGGGTTCACTACCCAAATGGCCTCAATGGCTAAGGCTGGGCCAGGCTGAAACCAGGAGCCTGGATCTTCTGGGTCTCCCTAGTGGGTGCAGGGGCCCATGGACTTGGATCATTTTCTACTGCTTCCCCAGGACATAGCAGAGAGCTGGATAGGAAGTGGGGCAGCTGGGACTCGAACCAGCGCACCACAATGACGGCCCCCAAAAGGGGGTCTTATGGGTCCCACTCAAGGGCGGCTCCTACAAGGGGCAAGGCAGCCCGAGTAGAAAGTGGCGGAGGCACCAGCAGGGATACAGAAGGGGAGCTGTGGAGAGGGGCTCAGTAGGGGGATGTTCCAGAAGCCCACGGCTATGTCCGTGACGCAGGCGCGGAGTCTGCAGGGAGGCTTGGACATAACCGAAGTCACTATCTAGAGTGGACAAAGACGCCGAGGGGCCCGGCTGCACTGCTCAGCGTGTCCACGCGGCCCGTTTGCACAGATGGGGCCGGGCCAGAGGGGAGAGAATGCTCTTTATCAGCTGCCCACATGCTGTGAGGCCGATGGCCAGTGGCTTGTTGGTGACCTGTCACGTATACCCAGCCAGTGCCCCTTCACTGCCTGGCCCAGCTGAACAGAAGTTGACAGTGCATTTTTAAGTCACTGTTTTCAGTGGTCTGGGAGGGGAGCTGGCTGCCCCAGGCCACGCCCTTCACCCTCACTCCCCAGGCCATGCCCCTCAGCCCCAGCTGCTCCTAGGCCACACCCCTTCAGCCCTGGCTGCCCCAGGCCAGGTCCTCAGCCCAGGCTCCCCCAGGCCACAACCCATTGGCCCTGGCTCCCTCAGGCCACGCCCTCTCAGCCTTGGCCTCTTCAACCCTATGCTGCACCAGGACTTGGACACTTCTCCCGGCTGCCTTGCTCTGACCTGTTCTATCCTCAGGCAACCACTTCAGCCTGTGGGGAGCCACAGCAGAGAGAGAGGCCCCTCGCCCATGAAGGGGAAGGGAGGATAAACACGAACACCCCCAAACAGGGAAAGGATCCATCTCATCGCAAAGACGCATAGACTGTGTTCATTGCCCAGCAGAGAGCAGGCTGCGGGCAGAAACCACAGGGGTGGCCCAGCGCTGGGACGGGGGACGCTGGGTACGGGCACATGGGCATAACCTTTATTCCACTTTTCATCTCTTCAGTTCACATGCTTTAAAATGTGCAATCAATGCATACACAGCCGAGTGATTGCTCCACACATGCTTTACTGATAAGCAGGGCTGTACATCGGGCTGTCCGGGCCCGCGGGAGGACCTGGGCCCGCTAGCTCTTCACAGGATCCACGAGCTGACTGGACATTCCTTGTCCGGGTTCTCCAGCTCCACCACGGAGTAGCTGCAAGTGTCCTTGTGGAAGATCGTCTTGCACTTTGTGGTATCAAAACCTCCGGGGATGGCAGCACTGTCATCGAGAAAAACCAAGCCCTGTTAGACAGGAAAAGACTCCCCCATGCTACCCCCACCCCAGCCCAGCCAGGGCCACACTGCAGCAGATCCTCTCCCCCCACCTTGCAACTGCCATCATCAACGGGATGGCACCCTTTGCTGTCAGCCCCACAGCGTGGCCCCCGGGGAACCTGCACCTGCCCATTCTGCAGAGTCATACAAACCATCCCTGCCATCCATCACACAGCCTGTCTGGCCTGCCCAGGATGGCCAGGAGTTCTGATAGCCCCAGAGGCAGGCCTGGGCTGCTCTGGAGCCAGGCAGGTGGCTCCAGCCTGGCTGTCCCTGGTGTCCCTGTTCAGGAAGTGGTCAGGTTGTCCCAAGCTTGGCAGGAAGGAAGTTAGAAGAGGAGCCATCTCAACCCACAGGAGCAAAGAGAGCCACTCCAGGCTGGGGTCATGGGGCCCAGGAAGGAGTTGAAGACTGGGGACCATCTCCCTCAGAATATTCACCCCCACATTCAGTGGGGCAAATAATTTGGGGGCCCATTGGTCCCTTGAAGCTCATGCGTAAACCCTAAATTTAAACTGTCTCTGCCCAAAAGGTGCATACACACAGCCGCTCCCCACCACCCTCTGTGACAAAAGATGACCCTCACTTTCCTTTCAACTGGCCACCAACAAAGCCAGGGCCTTTCTTCTATCTCAACTGCCTGACTCCTCCCAAGACACCTGAGGATGGCGCTCCCTCTGGGCCAGTGGTGTCAGGGCACTCGCACACCAATCTCCTGCTGGCTCATGCTGCACGCGAGTGGAAGCAAACGCTCGAGACTTGACTTCAGCGCTGGGGTTCAGCACTGAATCTGTTTGAAGACTAAGGAATGACTAGCAAGAGTTTTGATGAGGTGCGAGAGTGTTAATGCTAGACTATTGAGTGGAAAACCCAGACTACACAATTGCAACCTAGAGTTTGGTATCTGTCATGTAAAAAAAAAAAAAAAGTGTAGAAAGGAGTTGGGGGGCTGGCGCTGTGACATAGCAGGTAAAGCCACCACCTGCAGGGCCGGCATCCCATATGGGTGCCGGTTTGAGTCCTGGATGCTCTACTTCTTCTTCTTCTTCTTTTTTTTTTTTCTTGACAGGCAGAGTGGACAGTGAGAGAGAGAGACAGAAGGGTCTTCCTTTTCTGTTGGTTCGCCCTGCAATGGCCGCTGCAGCCGGTATGCTGCAGCTGGCGCACCATGCTGATCTGAAGCCAGGAGGCCTGGATGCTCTACTTCTGATCCAGCTCTCTGCTGTGGCCTTGGAAAGTAGTAGAAGATGCCAAGTCCTTGGGCCCCTGCACCCACGTGAGAGACCTGGAGGAAGCTCCTGGCTCCTGGCTTCGGATCAGCACAGCTCTGGCTGTTGTGGACATCTGGGGAGTGAACCAGTGGATGGTTGACCTCTCTCTCTCTCTCTTTCTCCTCTCCCTCCTCTCTCTCCATCTCTATAACTCTGACTTTCAGATAAATAAATATTTAAAACAAAACAAAAAAAGGAGTTAGAAGGAAATCAGGATAAGATACTAATCGTTGTTACCTTCAAGCAGTGAGATTATAAATATATTTTATTCCTGTACTTTCCAATAGTGCTATAATTACTATGTGTTATACTGAAAACTTGGGAAATTATTACTGAAACTTTTGATGTTAAAAATGGTTGTTTGGGCACCAGTGTTGTGGCGTAGAGGGTTAAACCGCTACCTGTGATGCCAGTATCCCATGTGGGCACCAGTTCAAAGTCCATTTCCAATCCAGCTTTCTTCTAATGCACTTGGGAAAGCAGTGGAAGATGACCTGAGTGCTGAAAGAAGCTCCTGGCTCCTGGCTTTGGTCTGGCCCAGCCTGGATGCTGTGGCCATTTGGGGAGTGAACCATTAGATGGAAGATCTCTCTTGCTCTCTCTCTCCCTCTCTCTCTGTAACTGCCTTTCAAATACATAAATAACTTTTTTAAAAGAATGCTTACTGATAAAATTGAATCCAACAATATTTTAAGTTAAAAAATATGGTTGCTTACAGGATGGAATGTGAATGTTGTGACCACTGTGGAAAACAGATGGGCAGTTTCTCAAAGAGTTAAAAAAAATACACACTATGAGACCCAGCCACTCCACCCCAGGTACACGCTCCCAAAGAACTGACAGCAGGGACTCAACCATACTGTAGAGCAGGACCCACTACAGCCCAGAGGTGCAGGCAACCCACAGGTCCGTCAGCACAGGAACGGAAGTAAAATAGGCTATTCCGATAACACAGAATATTTTTCAGGCTTCAAAAGGAAGGGGTTACTGAAAGAGGCTGCAACACGGATGAACCCTGCAAACGTGCTGCTGAGCGAAATATGCAGAGTGCAAAAGATAAATGTGCAATTCAGTTCCAAGAAAGATCTACACTAGGCACATCCACAGAGACAGTAGATTAGTTGTTCTCAGGGACTGGGGGAGGAGGAGGGGGAGGTAGGACTGCATACACGGGGAGTTTTGGTTTGGAGTCCCTGGAAAGTTCTAGAAATGGCGGTGATGGGTGCCTCTGGCTGTGCATGAACTTCACGGCCCTGAACTGTATGCTTTGAAGTGGTGAAACTGGCAAATGTTTGGTCATATAGATTTTACCACAATAAAAAAAAAACATTAAAAAGAAAAGTGGTTGTTGTTCAAGAGATATTCTTAGTTTTTTTTTTTTTTTTTTTTTTTTTTTTTTTTTAAAGTCTGTTGGTTTTCATCTACTTGAAAGGCAGAGCAACACAGAGAGAGAGATGTTCCATCTGCCGATTCACTGCCCCAGATGCCCCCACAGCCAGATCTGGGCCAGGCCAAAGCCAGGGGCCTGGAACTCCATTTGGGTCTCTCGCATGGGAGTCAGGACCCCAAGCACTTGCTCTGTTATCTGCTCTCTCCCAAGTGTACTGGAACTAGAGCAGCCAGGACTGGAAACAACACTCCAGTATGAAATGTGGTTGTCCCAAGTGGCAGTTTAACCTGCTGCATCTCAATGCTGGCCCCTAGGTGAGATTTTTTTTTTTACAAGTTTTTAGTAGGAAATGAAATTGTGTAATTCTGTTGTCTGCGTGCAGGTACAAGTTGCAGTGGCAAAGGGCATATTACTGGATGCATATTTTCATTTAAATCAGACCCAATTCTGTAGCTGAAACAGCTAAAGAGAGAATGAGAAGGGAAAACTGGAACATTAGGGGTGTCTCAGCGCTGGGGGCTGGATGACCTTGGGCCTTTGCCTCCACAGCTCACTCCCTCGCTGCGGTCAGAGAGCAGGGGCTGGGAGGTGGGGAGGCCAGATCTTCCACCCCCTGATGGGGGCAGCCTCTGCCTGGGCCTCCAGCCCCAGGCTCCACTGCTACTGCCACTTGGAAATCTACCTGTGTCTCAAGTAAGGTGCAAGGATCCAGGAAATTCTCCCAAAGAAAGGTTAATCAAAATCTGTATTTTGCTCTGGTCAGGAGAGGGAGAGAGAGGAGTTCATGAGAAAAACGAACTTGGTAAGCAATGGAGCAATTCCAGGGAAGGGGTTGATTCTGAGCAGTAGAGAGAAGTGAGCATACTTCCTGTGGACAGGCAACATAGCAGCAGAGAGGGAGAGGGTACCCTCACCCCAACCACGTGCTAGTTGCCATTCCAGGCTCAGGGCGCTCAGAACTGACACAGAGAAGGTCTGACGTGTTTGCTGAGCAAATGGATTTTTATCTTTTGAGAGGCAGAGATATGGGGGAAGGGAGCGATTCCACCTGCTGGTTCACTTCCCAAATGCATGCAACAAGCCAGAGCTGAGTAAGCTCACTGAGACTCCTGCATCGAGGCTCCTCCCACCTCACTGCCTGGGGCAGCCCTGGCTGCTTTCTACTCGGGGTCCATGGGAACCTTAGAAGAGGGTCCCATGGATGGGACGTGATGATACAGCACTGATGGGATGGGGATGCCACCACGGAGGTGCCCTCGGTGGGAGTAAGGCACAGTTCACCAGCCCTTAACCCAGCCAGGCACACCAGGGTCCCACTGACACTCGACACAAGGGAGAATTCAAGGTTCTGGGGCCACAACATCAAGATTCAAATGGAACACACAGTGCCCCAGCCAGTAGATGCCTGGGAGCCTGCTCTGGGCGGGCAGCCAGCTGGAGGCCCGGTTCCATATGCCTTTTGTTCCAGTAGGTACTTAGCATTGGCACCTGCTTCACAAATGTGAGTGGCACTTGCCAGCCACGCGAACTTCAATGAGATTCAAGTGTTCTGGTTTGGGTCAGAAGATCACTCCCCTACTCCCTGGAGTTGTCATCAGATTCTTGGAAGCCCTGGTTAAAATGCAGGTTCCTGGGCTGGTGCTGCAGCACAGTAGCCTAAACCTCTGCCTGTGGTGCCAGCATCCCATGTGGGCACCAGTTCAAGTCCCTGCTGCTCCACTTCTGATCCAGCTCCCTGCTAATATGCCTGGGAAAGCAAAAGAAGGTGGTCCAAGTGCTTAGACCCCTGCACCCATGTGGGAGACCTGGAAGAAGCTCCTGGCTCCTGGTTTCAGATCTGCCCAATCCTGGCCATTGTGGCCATCTGGGGAGTGAACCAGTGGATGGAAAACCTTTCTTTCTGTCTCTCCTTCTCTCTGTCTGTAGCTCCACCTCTCAAATAAATAAATAAAAATATTTTTTAAAAAATTCAGGTTCCGTGGTCTCTCCTCTATGGATTCTGATCAGAGGCTCTGGGGTAGGGCCCAGGAATCTGCATTTCACCTGGCCTCCCAGAGGACTCTGTGACCAGCAAGTGTGGGAAAGCTGCTTTACACACGTGCTCCCGTCAAGGCCACTCACGTGCTTGTGAAACACCACAGGCCAGAGCTGATGTGGATGGCAGATGGATTGGGGCAGGGGGCTAGGAGTAGGGTGGCTGGTGTGGACAGACCTGTGGGTATTTTGTGTTGTCTCCTCCCCAGTCTAGACTTTGGTGTCCACAGCACCCCAGCAGAACACATTTGCATGACCTTTGAGCTGACGTGGGTGGGTAGAACTCCCAGCAGCACAACATAGGGTTGACAGCACAAGGTACACACGCTGCGCCCTCATTCCTTACACCTCACATCCAGCACCGCCTGCTCCTCCTAGTGGCCAAGGCCAAGGCTGCACTGATGGCTGGGCCAGCTTCTCCAATAACATCGACCACTGCATAGGCTTTCCTGTCTCCAAGAACCCCTCTGGATACAGAGATTTAAGGCTAATGATACTGTGGCCAGCGCTGTGCTGCAGCAGGGAAAAGTGACACCTGCATATGGGCATCTAGTTCAAGTTCCGGCTGTTCCTCTTCCCATCCAGCTCTCTGCTAATGGCCTAGGAAAGCAGCAGAAGATGACCTGAGTGCTTGGGAGACCCAGATGAAGTTCCAGACACCTGGTTTTGGCCTGGCCCAGCCCTTGATATTGTAATCATTTGGGGAGTGAACCAAGGGATGATTCTCTCTCTTTCTCTCTCTCTTCCCTCCCCTCTGTAACTCTGCCTCTCAAATAAATAAATATAATAATATAAATTATATTATATATTTTATATTTTAATAAATATTTTTAAAATACTTATTTATTTGAGAGGCAGAGTTACAGGGAGAGACAGAGAGATCTTCCATCCATTGGTTCACTCCCCAAATGGCCGCAAGGGCTGGAGCTGGGCCAATCCAAAGCTAGGAACCAGGAGCTTCATTCAGGTCTCTCATGTGCGTGCAGGGGTCCAAGCACGTGGGTCATCCTCCACTACTTTCCCTGGCCATTAGCAGGAAGCTGGAACAGAAGTGTAATAGCTGGGACTTGAACTGGCGCCCATATGGAATGCCAGCATGGCAGGTGGAGACTTAACCTCCTACACCACAGAGTCAGCCCCAATAAATAAATCTTTTAAACAAAGAATAAGGAAACTGGGGTGGGCATTTGGGGGCTTAGAGGCTAAGCTGCTGGCTGAGTGGCCGCATCGCACATTTGAGTAGTGGGTTGAAGGCAGCTCTGCTCTCAATTCCAGCTTCCCGAGAATGGACACCCTGGGAGACAGCAGCGGTGGCTCAAGTGGTTGAGGCTTGCCACCAACATGGATTGGTTCCCACTCCCAGCATCTGTTGGCCTAATCCCAGACGTAGCAGACATCTGGGAAGTGAACCAGCAGGCAGCAGCTCGCCCTACCTGTCTCTCAAATAAATAAAACAGATACTTTTTAAAGAGAAGGCGTTGACCAAGTTCCAAAAGCAACATAAAGGAAATAAAACTGAAGCAGCCAAGTGTACACCAGCAGACGAATGGCTAAGCAAAATGTGCAGAATGAAGTGTTAGTCCACCTTCAAATAGGAAGGAAATTCTGATACCGGCCACAACATGGGTGAATTCGGAGGACACCACACTCTGTGAAGAAGCCAGTCTCAGGAGGACAAACAAACACGTGCATGATTCCACTTACATTTGGAGCCTGGAACAGTCAAATTCATAGAGACAGATGGTGTTTGCCAAGCCCCAAGGGCAGTGTTTTTTTTTTTTAATTTAAGATTTATTTTATTTATTTGAAAGACAGAGTTACAGAGAGGTAGATACAGAGAGAGAGAGAGAGAGAGAGATCTTCCATCCACTGGTTCACTCCCCAGATGGCCGGCCACAACCACTGGAGTTGCGCCAATCTGAAGCCAGGAGCCAGGATCCTCCTCCAGGTCTCCCACATGGGTGCAGGGCCCCTAGGACTTGGGCCATCTTCTACTGCTCTCCCAGGCCATAGCAGAGAGCTGGATTGCAAGAGGAGCAGCCCGAATTAGAACTTGTGCCTATATGGGATGCCAGCGCTTCAGGTCAGGGTGTTAACCCGCTGCAGCACAGCACCAGCCCCTGCGAGGGCAGTGTTGACTGGGTGCAGAATCCCAGTTCTTCAGGATGAAGGGCATGGCAGGGGGGTGGCAGCCACATGAATTTATTTAACGCCACTGAAGTGTATACTTACAAATGGCTGAAACGGTACGTTTAATGTGCTACGTATTCCACCACAAGCCAAAGAAGGAAGAGAGGAGTGGGCATTCAGCCTAGTGGTTAAGATACCCCTGGGATTGCCTGCATTCCATGTTGGAGTCCCTGGGTTGGGGTCCCAGTTCAAGATTCCAGCTTCTTGCTAATACACACTCCGGGAAACAGCAAGTGAGAGCTCAAGTCCTTGGGTCCCTGCCACCCACATGGGAGTCTGGCAGATCTGGATTCAGTTCCTGGCTCCCTGACCCAGTCTTGGCAGGAAGGCATTTAGGGAGTGAACTGACACGTGGGAGATCTCGATCTCTCTTTCTGTCTCTCTCTCTGTCTCTCTCTCTGTGTGTGTGTGTGTGCAATTAATTACATAAAGAATAAAAGAAATAGGACTAAAAATGACTTCCATCCCTCAACCCCCACCACCACATCAAGAGTGAATGTGAACTGTGGTCATTGGGTGACAAGGATGAGTCCATGTGAGGTCAGTAACCAATGCACCGCTGGTGGAAGACACTGCTAACAGGGAGACAGTGCATGTATGGGGGCAGAGGTGTATGAGAAATCGCTCTAGCTCTGCTCAATTTTGCTGGGAATCCAAGAGGCTCTTTAAAAATGCCTATAAAAAAGCCTATTTAAAACAAACAAGGATGCCCCCAAAATACAGGGTTTTCAAAGAAGGAGCAGTGCTGTTCCTCTCTCCGCCACTACCCGTGTGACTCACGTGTTGCAGCAATGAATTCCAGTCTCATCACAACTACATGTGCAACAGTTCTCAGTCTTCCACTCCACGTTCAGCTTGTGTGTGACTCCATCAAGGTCCCTGCATTCTAAGACAACACAAGCGACATCATCGGGAGCATTGGCGGGAGCAGGGCACATGAGGACAGGAAGGCCAGCCCCCTGCCATGTGACCATGGTGTCCGGGAAAGGTGCTGCCGTGCAGAACCTGCCGTTGGTGACGTTTTGTCACAAAGCTTGAATCCCTGCAGGTTTTATTTCCGGACAGACATTTGGAGATATAAAGCCCTCCTCTTTAATCAGACAGCTAGGACAAGCATGGGGCTCTGTGGGACCAAGTTCTCTCCTGCTGGCTTCTCTCTGCAGAAATACCTCAGCACAGCACCTCCCTGTGTTTTTCATCGGCGGTCCCTAACCCTGGGTGAACATGTGACACATACGGGGCACTTCAAAGCCACCTACAGGGACCTGTGAGAGGCCGGCATCCCACATGGGTGCCACTTTGAGTCCCAGCTGCTCTACTTCCTACCCAGTGCCCTCCTAATGTGCTTGGGGAAGCAGTGGAAGATGGCTCAGTTAGTTGGGCCCCTGGCACTCAACATGGGGAAACTCAGTGGATGGAACGTCTCTCTCTCCCCACTCTCATACTTTCTCTCTGTCCCTTCCTCTCTTTCTGTAACTCTGCCTTTAAAATACATAAGATAATTTTTTTTTAATTGAACACTTGGAGGTGGGCATTTGGGCTATCTCAGGAGTGGACCAGTCAGGGTTTGGAAGCTCATTGTTTCCGTCTCTTTCTCTCCCTGTTCCATTTCCTATCAAATAAACAAAACAGATAATGGAAAATTTGAAATAAAAAAATTTACATCTGGGACCCACCCCAGAGCAAGGAAATCAGAGTCTCTGGGTGTGAAGCCCAGGCCACCACATGTTTAAGAAACTCCCCGGGGCTGGCGCTGTGGTGCAGCGGGTTAATGTCCTGGCCTGAAGCGCCGGTATCCCATATGGGCACCAGTCTGAGTCCCAGCTGCTCCCCTTCCAATCCAGCTCTCTGCTGTGGCCAGGGAAAGCAGTGGAAGATGACCCAAGTCCCTGGGCCCCTGCACCCACGTGGGAGACCTGGAAGAAGCTCCTGGCTCCTGACTTTGGATCAGCCCAACTCCAGCCAGTTTAGCCATTGGGGAAGTGAACCAGCAGATGGAAGATTCTCTCTCTCTCTCTCTCTCTCTCTCTCTCTCTGCCTTTCCTCTCTGTGTAACTCTTTCAAATAAAATAAATAAATCTTAAAAAAAAAAAAGAAACTCCCCAAGAATTCAAATGTTTAACCAAGGGTACAATCCTCTGCTTTGCATCCATGTGGTCCCAGTGTCCCGGAAGGACCAGTTGCAACATCACCTGGGGTGGCATGAGACATGCAGACTCCCACATCTGCCTGCAGAGCCACTGACCCAGGGCTGTGCCCCACTTCATAGTCAAATAAGGAGCTTTTATTCTATTTTATTTTTGAGCAACATATGGTGCTCCCATCTGCTGATTCACTCCCTAAATGCCCACAGCAACCTTGGTGTGGCCCAGGGCCAAAGCTGGGAGCCCAGAACTCCATCCAGGTCTCCCACATGAGCTGCAAGGACCCAATGAATTGAGCCGTCATCTGCTGCCTCCCAGGACGCACAACAGCAGGAAGCTAGAATTGGTAGCAGAGCTGGGACTTGAACCCAGGCACTTTAGTATGGGATACGGGGTCCCAAGCCACAGTGTAACTATTAAGCCAAATGCTCACCCCATCAAGGAGCTTTTAATGTGCAGCTCATACCCCAGTGATTCTCATTTGCCTACCTGGTTTTAGATTGGATGGGACTTGAGCGCTGGTAAGTTTCAAAAGAAGAACAAAGTCAACTCTCACCCAGCTAGGGTTAAGTTGGAATCCTTTTGACACCATCTCTATATTTGCCCTGACCCTCTTTCTTATGCAGATTCAAAGGTGTTCAGCACCAGTGCACAGGTCACATCTCCCAGGCTGCAGTGACATAATCAACGCTGGAGAATGGGGACTCACCATCAGGGGGATCCTCCGGGTTCTTGTCATAGAGTTCGACATAGCACTGCGTGTTGCACAACACCAAGAGGCTGGCGAAGACCACAAGGCTGCCCAGCAGAGTGTTCTGTAACATGAAGAGGAGTGAGGACGGAGCATGAATGAACCCAGAGGGTTGGGTCCTGGCAGGTGTGCAAAGATGGAGCTGCCACCCTCATGGAGCAAGACCTGTGCAAGTCCAGAGCATGAGCCAAAGAAAGACTGAGTTGTGAGTTCAAGGTCCTGGAGCTATGATGCCCATGTGCTACTTATCACAGAGCGGTCGGGGAAGCCTTTCTGGGTAGGGTCGTTTTTAGCAAGAATCTGCAAGAGTGAAGGGGTGGAGGAGTTTCAGGAAGAGATAAAGGGGAAGAGACTCTGGCTGGGGCTTTCTTGGGCTAGCTGGGTCAGCTGGGGGTCCCAGAGGAAAGACAGGTGCAAGCAAAGCTGTGAGCATGAGGATCAGATGATTTTTTTCATTTTCTAGATGACAAAGGCATCGCTGCCGACCATATGAACAGACCAAGGGATCTAGGCTGAAATCAAGGACAAGGAGAAGGATCAGGTTACGCTTGTCATCGTTCCTAGATAAACTGCACAAACTAACTTTAAAATGATAATCCCCAGGAATCTTCTAAAAACAAAGATGGGGTGAGAGTACTTAAGAATATTTATTTGAAAGGCAGAGTGACAGAGAGAGAGAGAGAGAGAGAGAGAGAGAGAGAGAGAGAGGGAGAGACCTTCCATCTGCTGGTTCACTCCTCACACGGCCCCAACAGCAGGGGCTGGGCCAGGCTGAAGCCAGGAGCCAGGAACTCCACCTGGGTCTCCCATATAGGTGGCAGGAGCCCAAGTACCTGAGCCACCTTCCACTGCCTTCCCAGGAGCGTTAGCAGGAAGCTGGGTCAGAAGCAGAGCAGCCTGGACCCGAGCCAGCACTGGACACGGGACACTGGCCTGGTAATCCACAGTTGAATCCTCTTGTGCCACAACTCCCACCTTGTACTTTCTCTTTTGGCACTAAAGTTATGTGTTTTAAAGGCTTTATATGTAATGTTCACACATAAAAAAACTTGAAGTGCTTTTCTGTAATTGAAAAATGCAAAGAATTAAAAAATAAGGTTTTCAATATTTGAAAAAAGTACAGATTGACAAAAATGTGTGTAGTCTGTCATGAGAACTACACCAACAAATACAAACAGGATACATGACAGAATTATCCTGCAATAACTTAGGTTACAAAGTACATTAACTAAAATGCACAAACTTCTGTGCATTCTAAACTACAGGTTTGTTTTTTTTTTTTTTTTTTTTTTTTTTGTTTCTGCAGAATCCTTAAAACCTGTGACACTTAAAAGTTGTTAGCCTGTGGCTGGCTCTGTGGCATAGCAGGTAAAGCCACCGCCTGCAGTGCTGGCATCCCATATGGAGGCCAATTTGAGTGCCAGCTGCCCCACTTCCAATCCAGCTCTCTGCTACGGCCTGAGAAAGCAGTAGAAGATGGCCCAAGTCCTTGAGCCCAACTTGGGCCCCTGCACCCACGTGGGAGACCTGGAAGAAGCTCCTGGCTTCAGATTGGCCTAGCTCCAGCTGTTGCAGCCATCTGGGAAGTGAACAAGCAGATGGAAGACCTCTCTCTCTCTCTCTCTCTCTCTCCCCATCTGCCTCTCTGTAACTCTGCCTTTCAAATAAATAAATAAATCTTAAAAAATAATAAAAATAAAAAATAAAATAAATTAAAAAGAATAGAAGTGCAAATATACATAACCAAATAGAGAACCCAGAAAGTACTCATAAATCTGTATGAAAGTTTGTTACAAAATAAGCATGGTCTTTGAGGAGAGTAATGATTCATTAAATGGTTTTAGAACAAGTGAGGCACTGTGTGGGGAAGAAATAAGTTTCTTACTTTAGTTCCCACAATGTAAGAAGCTTGAAAAGGATTCAAGGCTCAAATGTTTACAAGATAATAAAATAACCACAGAAAACATTGGCAAATATTTATCTTATGCAGTATGAAAAAAATAGATTTGAGTATGTAAAAAATTGCAAAAATATAAATAAAATTAAAAAGATATCAGATTTGGAAAATAGTATCATTACAGGAAGACTGTCATCTCATAGAAAAAGAAAAACATTTTAGTATAAAAATGGCATTTTGGGGCCAGCACTGTGGCGTAGTGGGCTAAGCTTCGCCTGCAGTGCCAGCATCGCATATGGGCACCAGTCTGAGTCCCAGCTGCTCCTCTTATGATCCAGCTCTCTGCTGTGGCCTGGGAAAGAGTGGAGGATGGCCCAAATCTTTGGGCCCCTGCACCCATGTGAGAGACCTGGAAGAAGTTCCTGGCTCCTGGCTTCAGATCTGCCCAGTTCCAGCAGTTGCAGCCATTTGTGGTGAACCGGTGGATGGAATACCTCTCTCTCTGTCTCTCTCTCTCTCACTGTAACTCCACATCTCAAATAAATACATACATCTTTTTTTTTTTTAAAAGGCATTTCACACCCATGCATAGACACAATGAAACATGATGAGCAAGCACGAAAAAAGTTCAACTTACTGAAAACAAAACAAATGTAAAATGTGTATAAAATAGAACCATAATGGTATGGCGAGAATAACCATTTAATTTATAACACCCGGAGGGAAACAGACACATGGGTGAGATGTGAGAGGCACAAGGGCCAGTCGGCTGGAACAATGGTTAGGGCATGCAATTTGAGAGCGTGCATCAAACTCCTTAACACCGTTTACAATGCCAATCTTCACTTCTTCACTTCCCAGACTTGATCTTCAGAAAAGACTCCTCCCCATAGCAGTGGGAAATGGAAAAACACTACTCACCCAAGAACAGAGCTGGTTAAGAACCAGGGATGATTCAGAAAAGCACCTGGCAAGTGGGCGGGGCTGGTGGTGGCAGGACCTGGGGCACTCAGGGAGATGAAGACTTTGCAGGATGTGACTCCTGGGGGTGCTGGAGATGCACGAGACTGAATGACAGTGACCCATAGGAGATCACCTTACTAAGAGGGTGCATTACCCAGGTGACAGTGTCTCAGAAACAGCCCGCTCCCCGGCCCCACCCAAAAGTTAGTTTGTCTTGCATGCATGCTATGCTTTGAATGCCGTCACCCAACTCCTGTAACAATTCAACCCAGATGGGAAGGCACTAACAGGTAGGACCCCCCCCCCCAGAGGTGATTAGGTCATGTGGGTGGAGCATTCATGAGTTCACAGACTAAGGGATCTGGGGGCTGGCACTGTGGTGCAGTAAGTTAAGGTGTTATTTGGGACATCCTCTATCAGAGTGCTGGTTTGAATCCCAGCTGCTCCACTTTTGATCCACCTCCCTGCTAATGTGCCTGGGTTCCTGCCACCCACATAGGTAGACCTAGATGAAGCTCCAGGCTCCTGGCTTTGCCTGGCCCAGCCTTGCCTGCTGCAGATATTTGGAGAGTGAGCCAATGGATGGAAGGGCTCTTTCTGTCTCTCCACTTCTCTCTGTCACTCTGCCTTTCAAATTAATAAGATAGGAGCTGGTGTTGTGGGGCAGAGGGTTAAGCCTCCACCTGCAATATTGGCATCACATAGGGTCATGGTTTGAGTCCTGGCTGCTCCACTTCCAATCCATCTCCCTGCTAATGTGCTTGGGAAAGCAGCAGAGGGTGGCCCTTCAAGTAGTTGGGCACCTGCCACTCAATGGGAGAGCCGGATGAAGTTCCAGACTTCTGGCTTCAGCCTGGCCCAGTCCCTTTGGGGAGTGAAACAGCAGATGAAAGATTCTCTCTCTCTCTCCCTCTCCCTCTCTCTGTAGACCTTGACCTTTAAAATAAGTAAATAAATGTTAAAAAACAAAAACCCTGTTCTCACTGCAGACCAATTACATCTGAGTGTCTGGGAGCTCCTGTCAGTATTTTTCAAGGTTTCCCAGGCGATCCTGCTGCAGAGAGCAACCCCTGGCTTTGCACTCAGCTCCCTATAGGCTTGTAGTCTCTTCCAGTCCCCAGGCTCAGTTTATCTATAAAATGGTGCAATGATTGGTCCGGCATTGCATTCCATCTCACCAGCCACTCAAATAGGCCCCAAGAATCAGAGACACCAGAGACCTCACTGAACCCCAGAGTTTCTAGAGCAACTCAGATCTTAGGGAACTCGTTAGGATTTCCCAGAGTCCCCAGACCCTTTTTCTACTCTACACGTTGAACTGCAAGTCACATGCGGAAGATTCCTAACTAGATCCACTCACCATTAAATGCACCCCGTGAGCTCCAGTACAAGTAGAAGTGAAATAAGGAAGACACTTCCCCCCTCCTTTCTGGTCTCTATGTACCCACTCAGTTACCTACCATTGTGGTGAGCAGGGTTCCTTACAGACAGGTGCATCCAGGACAAGTCAGGCCACACTTTTATATAGGAAGGGACAATTATACACACACACACACACACACACACACACACCTGCCGCCCCGCCACCAGCACCACGCAACATCATTCAAGAAAGTAACACGCCAAGAACACCTCAAGTGTTTGCAGAGGGCTGCGTTCAGCTGAGTTACGATGATTCATAAAGCAAGCCTCCACCCCAAATAAGTGTTTACCTTTGTCCCCACCCCAACTGCATTTCCCCTTGACCTGAAAGGGTGGGGGAGGAGAGCACTGCCCTTCACAGAGCCGTCACTCTGTGCTGGGCATGTGACACCTTCTTACTTGATTTTATGCACAAAGAAATGGAAGTCCAGAAATGCCAGCCCCGAGAGCCAGGTCATGAAGCTGGGTTTTGTGAAGGAGTAAGAACAGCCCAAGGAATCAACGCCATCCCCCCCCTGGCCCACCAGGCCTGCAGCTATGGTCCAGTTGGCACTGCCTTTAGAGTGTGGCAGGAGAGAGCAGCAGTGTTCCAGGGCCGGGAGCACAGCTTCCCCTTGACAAGCCATGTGGCTCTGTCCACTTGGCCTTGACCTTTCTAAAGTTCAAGTTTCTAAAGTTTTTTTTTTTTTTTAATTTTTGTACAGGCAGAGTGGACAGTAAAGAGAGAGAGACAAAGGTCTTCCTTTTCTGTTTGGTTCACCCCCTCATGGCCCCTGCAGCCGGGTGTGCTGTGGCCAGCGCACCATGCTGATCCAGAGCCAGGAGCCAGGTGCTTCTCCTGGTCTCCATGCGGGTGCACAGCCAAGCACTTGGGCCATCCTCCACTGCACTCCCTGGCCACAGCAGAGAGCTTGACTGAAAGAGGAGCAACCGGGACAGATTCCTGGCGCCCCGACTGGGACTAGAACCCGAGGTGCTGGTGCCACAGGTGGAGGATTAGCCTATTGAGCCGTGGCACCAGCCTAGTCCATTTGAACTTTCTAAAGCTCTTGCTGAGTCTTCTTTTTTTTTTTAAAAAATTATTATTTTTAATTTATTTTAAAAGCAGAGTTACAGAGAGGAGAAAGAGATTTTCCATGTGCTGGTTCACTCCCCTAAAATGACCACCACAATCAGGACTTGAGCCAGGTCAAAGCCAGGGGCCTAGAACTCCATCTGTCCCTCCCATGTGGGTGGGAAGGGGCCCAGCCCTTTCCAGGTGCATTAGCAGGGGAGCTGGATCGAGAGTGGAGAAGCTGGGATTTGAACCAGGTGCCCCTATGTGATGCTGGCATCACAGTCAGCAGCTTTGATTCTGAGCCACAATGCTGGCCCAGAGTCTTCAGTCTGGGCTCCCTGCTGTGTCATCCCAGCCTTCTTTCGCGCTGCTCAAGAATGATCTCCTTTGAAGAATCCCTGCTCACCCTCACGATGGCCTTTCAGGAGTGGCGACGGGCAGAACCACCTGGTGTATTAGCTATGTATTGCTCAGGCTGCCGGGACAGAATAGAGTGGACTAGGCGGCCTGCACCACAGGTCATTATTTGCTCCTGGTTTGGGGACTGGGAATCAATCCAGAGTCAGGCAGTGGGCAGATGCGGGTCTGTTCTTGGTCTGCAGGGCGCGCCCTCTTGCTGTTCTGCTTCCATGGTACCCATTCCCTTCTTCCTATAGCAACCCTGGTCCCTCACCACCCCTTAGGGCCCACACTGACATATCTAATCGCTCCTAATCACCTGCTAGAGGCAGACATAGTGCCAATGCAATCAATTCTGAGGTCCTGAGGGCTACTTTTCAATCCATGGATTTTGGGTGGACACAGTGGAGGCCATGATACTCATGTGATCCCCCACCCCCACACCTGGAGCTCCTAGTGTTGAGATCCAATCACTGGTCCCCTCTGTCCACAGATGAGAGCTCAGACTCAGCCAGTGGCCTCCACAGAGGTCTGTAGAGCTGGCCAGGGGATCTGCCCCAGTGCCAGCCTCAACTGCCCCCAAATCCAAGCTCAGCCCCAATGCAGGGTATGTTCACTCCCTGCTCTCATGCAGAGCTGCAGAGTTGGCTGCCTCTGAGAGAGAGAGAGAGAGAGAGAGAGAGAGAGAGAGGGAGAGAGAGAAGGAAGGTGGGGGGAGGAAAGGGGAGGGGAGCTGGTTGCCTCTGTAAGATGAAGTTTAGATAGGATCAAAGCTAAATGTGAGTGGAGCACTGGCTCCTCAAACGGGGTTTCTGGCACTCAGTTCGTTTGTGGGAGTCCATGACGGACATGGTAGCAGGGTTTACTGCCAGAGCCATGTGGCAGTGGGGTTTCAGATCGACCCGGCCTTCTGGCAACCAAACCAGGGTCCTCCTGCCTTTCTCAGAGCCTGTGAGCTCCCTGGCATTCTTTAATAAAATTCCAGCAGGTTCTGTTGTGTGCAACCCTGTGACCATCAAGTTCTCCCTGCTGGTGTCCCTCCGGTAAACACCTTGCCCAGTGAAGCACAGCTGTGTGGATAGGCTGCCTTCTGGTTAGTGCAGAGGTTCTCAAGCAGGCGAAGGTCTCCAAGGTATCAGCCCCATAGCCTTGCTACAAGGAGCCCATCTGCCTCTCAGCAGCACTAGCAGGAAGGCAGTGGCCAGCTGCCCCAGAGCAGCCCCAGGCAGGCACTTGTGAGGGAGACAGATGTTGGAGCAGGGGTGTGCAGGTGCCCATGCAGGGTGGGGGGCAGGAAGATGGAATGAGGCCACCGCCCAGTGATGGCGGCAGCTCTGCCTGACTGATGTGCAGCTTTTATCCCATCTCCACTGTCATCTTTACAAATAGACCAGGCCTTATTTTTTTCCCATGAGTATATTCATGTATCATACATGTTTGCATGTATTGGCTGATGTTTAAGAAACTTAGCACCCACCCCAACCAATCACCTTCATTGTAGAAAAAAAAAGGAACATGCAAGAGGCAAAGAAAAAATCATGGTCGGACTGTTCCAAGAGATACTGTTAGCATTGTGGAGAATTTCCCTCGAAGTGTTCTGGGTGTTTGCATTCAGGAGAAGTGGAAGTCGAGAGCTGTCTCTCCAAACGCGGGTCTCACATGCACTGTTGTACAGTCTGCTCTTCCCATTCAGAAAAGCTCCTGGGGATGGGCGTTTGGCTTCATAGTTAAGATGCAGGTTAAGAAGCCCACATCCCACGTTGGAGTGCCTGGGTCCGATTCCCAGATCCAGTTCCTGATTCCAGCCTCCTGCCGGCAGCAACCCTGGAGGCAGCAGGGATGCTCAAGTCACTGGGTTCCTGCCACCTATCGGGATCTGGATTGAGTTCCTGGCTCCTGACATCTGCCCTCGACCAGCCCATCACCTGTCATTCTGATAGGTGGACACTATTTGTTCTAGTAACTTTTCTTTGGTGGTTGGCAAGGTTCAGACAGTTTGAGCACTTATTAACCAACTTTCGCAGTTGCCTGTTTTTGGTATTCATTACCCATTCTTCTGTTAGGAGGAAGCTGGAGTCAGGAGTTGGAGTGGCCGGATACTCAGACAGGCCTGCTCTTCCACCAGATCCTGGATGTACCCTCTTTTACATGCCTGTGCTCTTTGCAAGACAGCCCCTAGCACGATGCCCACGGTTCTGCACTTGCTCTCTCCACTGTGCTCCATCCTAGCTGCTCTAGGCCATTTTGCTGTCCCCAGAGAGCCGGTTGCCCCGGAGTCATTTCCTCTGCATGAACAGACCTTTCCCCAGCCTCGGCAGGCATCACTCCTGCTCCCCCAAGCTGCTACTGCAATGCCATCTTCTCAATACATCCTGCCTTGAACGACCTGAACAACCTCTCACCATGCACCTGCTCTCACAGTCCTTGCTTCCTGTCCTCTTTGCTTTTCTCTCTCTCTCTCTCTCTCTCTCTCTCTCGACACTAACCCTGGACTCACTGGAGGCACAGCTCCCCGTTCATTGTCTGCCTTCCCTTGACTACAATATAGCTCTTTTAGGACAAGAACCTGTCTGTTTTCTTCTGGACTTTATTCCAGAAAGCTCTGACCCATGGATGAGTCGCGACATATACAGTTACCACAATGTCCCAGGCAGCGATGGACCACACA